CAACTCACTGGCCACAGGGTTTAGTCCTGGGACAACCACTTTTCCACGTTTCATTTATCACTAACCAAAGGAGCATTGATCTGCTTAGGCTACCGTATCCAAAAATTTCAACGTGACTATTTGACAGACTAACTTCCATCACGTTCTTTAATATATGACAGCATGATTATGTCAAATATGAATCATAAAAGTTGAGATAGGAAGATTATTTGTTTCATTCTATGGATTAGTGCAGAATTTCAGACTATCAAACGCATCTACCGGTCTCATGATAACTGTAAAAACCTCCTGTGACTTTCGTTAGAAATTATTTCCTCGTCAGGGAATTTTCCTGCTATTTTGCATTTATTTTAATAACTTGAGCCCATCCTTTTTAGCAGTACCTCATTTTTGCAAAATATTCTAGGTTATGAAGGACTGCATAAAACCCAAATTCCACTTCATGTTAAATAGGTCCTGATTTGCTTTTATCACGCTAAATTACAAACTGAATATGCTACTCCGTCCTTGGCTTTCACCCCTTACACTAAACAGCAACTCCAACACCAGTACTTTTGCCTCTGGTTTTACAGGTTCTCGGCTACACTCACATTAAATATATACCAATTACCAGGTGCGCTCTAGAAGCAGTACCAGCCAGTTTTAGAAACGGCATTTGTATATCGGATGCCATGTGGCATTCTCCATAGCTTGGCAGCCACAGCAGCTCTGCTTTGAGAGAGAGAACTGCTTGGCATTGGAAGCCCAGCTTCTAGGTAAAATGACACTATCCCCCAGACAGTTGAGTCAATGAAGGGAACAATGGCATAGCCCGCAGACTTGCTTATGAATGCATAATTACAAGTCATACATTCCCGCATGAAAACATTACGTCAGTTTTAAAATATTTCTTATACAGGAAGTTACTAATCTGCCCATGTAAACACAATGCACAAGGTGTGTGTCTCAGCAGCCTCACTGCCTTGCTACTATATATGTTGTCTGTGATACAATGACCAAATGCCACAGTTGCCCTGTTTTCAGAAGACACTTGGTAAAGCTATGTCTTGTATTAAAAAAAAAAAAAAAAAAAAGCATGTCGCAGATAGACAAGCAGTACAAATCCATACAATTTCACTAAGTAACATTTTTATTAAAATTGAAATTGTATACTACAGGCAGAAGAAACATGAGAGAATTTGGTCAAATGTTTGGAGAAAGCGCATGCTGTGCTCGCTACCCTGATACACAAACTTCACAAAAGAATTCCAACACAACATATACAAAACTCAAATCAACTTGTGTAACTAACTATACTGACACTGGTATTAACTGGAAATATGACGAACTGCAGCTGGCAGATGCCTTTTAAAACAATACTCAGGATACAAGGAAGCTTGATGTATACCCAGATCAAAAGGACAGCTACACGTAACAAAGCATAACAAATGTGTTTTCATAAAGATAACACATGGGAAGTAAAAAAAAAAAACAAAACACCAATCTCCCCTCCCCCTTCTCCCCCACAAAAAACTTAAAAAACAAAACTGCCTTCATTTTCTTCTCAGCTTCAAATGCATTTATGTAAGCCCTCCAAATTTAACAGATGAATGTCTTAATTTAACTACTGGAATTGCTTGCCTTTAACTAATTGGACGGAAGACAGAATATCGCTATTTGTAAATGAGAAATTGTTAGTAGAAGCACAGGAATTATCAAAAGGACAAATGTGTTTCCTCTGACAATAGGAAAATGGAGCATATCGTACCAAGGACAAAAAAAACCCTCTTTCCAGATACCGTGATGTGTACCAGAACATGGTACCTACTTTGTGCAGCATGTCTGTTCCATGGAAATTCCCAAACATTTGTTCATCAGGGTGGGGACTGCAACACAAAATTCCCATCCGGCTGATGCACTCTCCTCAGCACAGACGATGCGTGGGTGTCTCACTGCTTCGTGGAGTGGTCTGGGGGAACGGCACCACAGGGGCTCACAGCTCGGCAGCAACGCTGCATTTTGCCCAGGTGCAAGCAGCCACCCTGGAGCAGCCAGTCCCAGTGTCGAAGTCCCAGAGCCATTAAAAGAAACCCCATGCAGTTGTAACTGGCAAGCTACACTCAGTGCTGTAACTATCCTTGCGTGTGTGGCCTTCAAAAGCCTTATGGCTTGCGACTTACATTTATGAAGCAGTTTAAAAATTCATATTTGAAAGAAAAAGGCTTAATTTGAGTTATAAAGTACACTTGCTCAGACTATGCAGGAAAGGAAAATTATACATCTACATTTACAACTCCAATATTAGGGTGCTCTTCAGGATAGCTACAAGATTAGGTGATGTTTGAATTAAAGGCTAAATAGTTTCAATTTATCTTACGTTATATTTTCTTAATGACGTGTACATACAAAGAAATCATGTTAAGATATACTGAGAAACAATTAGCTTAAACAGAGTAACTACTACAAAAATCTACCAATCCTCAGCTAATCAAGACAGGTAGTTCTAATATCCTCAAGGTGAGTACTATGTATTTAAAGGCAACAAGTTTCAGTTCTGGAACATCTGCTAATTTGTATCAAATTTTCAGCTATGATTTTTTAGTCTCTATAAACTTTTTTTTTCCCTCTGAAAACCAGCAGAGGGAGACAGGTTCTTTTTTACTCCTAAGGAAAGTAAAAGACTCTATTACTTCTGCAAAAACATACCTTCTCAAAATTCAGTATAATTTCCTAGATTAGTCTCCAATGCCTTTTCCTGGTAATTTTCAACTTCATTATTAATACTCACTCTTCTTGTTCTGAGTGTTTATTCAAGCTTAAATAGCTATTGCTTACATCCGCAGATGTTTATTCAACAGTACGCTGCTATTAATTGTGGATTTCTTTCAGGGAGAAAGGGGATATTAGTGTTAGTAATGAGAGTAAAGGGAAAAATAGGCCATGGCTATGGTTTAATTATTTCACTGTTATGCAATAGCTTACATGTGTTTTCAGCATGTGGAAGGTCTGCATACGGCTCTCAAAATCTATACAATAATTTCAGCTGACTACATACATGAGTTGCATATTTAAGGCTCAAACATAAGAAGAAAATTCTGCTCTGCAATCGAAAAAGACCGACAACAGGTTCAAGTGCAGGTAAAATCTTCTCTTGGGTTAATTTCTTAGGGCTTGGGTCCTATTTCAGTAAACAGGAATTTAGACACTAGAAGCCAAAATAATACTACAGAACTTGGCATAGAAACTTAGGTATGTCCCACACAATTTAGGCAACATTCTCTAAAAAATGGCATGACAGGGCATACATTTGAAATTCATTAAAAATTTTCATATTTACTCCTATTTTTTTGAAATAAATTATGCCCAGAAGAGCTATCAGAACAGGAAACTGAAAAACAGAAACAATAATACATTTCACTAGTTGTTTTGCTGTCAATACTCTGTGATAACTTTTTATTTATTTATTCATAAAACTTCCCTTTACAGATGGTTTATATAATCAGAGAAGAAATTACAAGAAATGTTTTTTGGATGTGTTCTATGCAATATGCACAATTTCTGTCATTTGAAGGCTTTAAATAAAACGAAGCTTCTGAACATTCCTAAAATGGAGTGGAAGTAGAAGAGTTAGAAAATGCACACAGACACGTGTCACTGCTACAATATACTCAGGAGGTACTGTGGGATAGTTGTTAGTCTACAGTATGCTTTGGTAAGGGCTATTAATGTAAGAATGATGCCAGAAATGCCTGAGAGAGAAACTGCGGGCAACAGGATGCGTACCTGGAAATAGCAATCATTCCTTGGGTAAAGGTAATTGAGGTAATTGGGAAGACTTCTGGTATTTAAAATCCCAACCACAGCAAGTCATGCTTAATCAAACATCCAAAGACAGAGGATGATAGTACTTGATCTTGACTACTCACTTGAATTATCCTGCATCAAAAAATTAAAATAAAACAAACAAACAAAATAAAACCAGCATTACCAGCAAGAATCCAAAAGCAAGAGACTTCCACAGAGATCTCTTTGGCAGGCTGCTAAGACAGAGGCTACGGGGTCTTCTCCCAGCTGCCCAAACTCCTGCAGCTCCAAGGAAGATCCAAGCCCTCACCAAAAAAATCTGATCTTCCCTTTCTGGTATAAGCTAATTGCCTGAAGCTTCTTGTAGTAACCCTATGTTCACCAGTAACACAAGTTCACAGTTCTTCTCTAAGCATTGCAAGTCAATAGAAATATTCTACTATTAAAAAAAAAAAAATTGAACAATTCCCTGTCATACATTTACTTGTAGTTGTATAGTGTATATTGCTGAGAAGAAATTATCCTATCAAGTACATTCAGTGAAGTAATTTCCATATCCCTGTCCAAGTCTAATTGTGTCATGGCTCTGGCCCTTAATCCTTGTATTTTGGTATACAATTTTTTGTAGTTCTCATAGGGGAAGTTAAGTGCACAATGTGTTTCCTCGAGGACATTTGTAAAACTGGTTTTCAGGTTAAGGGTCAATGATTCAAATTCAACAGATTTTATCTCATGGACGTTCTGGAAGCAGCAGAATTAATTTTAAATGCCTGTAATCCTTGCCAAGATGCCTTAATTGGTAAATAAGCATCCTCTTCTCAGGAATGAGAGTTATGTAAGAGTAGAGTACTGGCATTATTCAAAGCAATTTATTGCTTGCCTTTGCTGTTTACATTCATGAGTAGAAAGACACCCATGTTTGAGGGACAAAACTGGATATTGTTTTAACAAAAATGATCTCAAGAGTTTGGTGGAAAACTTTTCAGACAAGACTGCGGCAATCAGCCCCCAGCAGAAAGAAGCCAACAGCATTAATACACGTCACAACTCACTTCAACAACTTGACGCAGAGCTTGTGTGCATGGGAGGTAAAAAGTAGTGTGTGTTCATGTATGCACGGCTGACTGCGAAACTTCAAGGAGAAGGACAGCTAATCAGCACACTGCACAGTTCTGGCCTCATTATGAACCCTGTCTTTGTGGATACTCTGCACTCACCCATCAGAATAATTCTACGAAATATATCAGGAACTCTGCCAGGACCAGTCTTATGCACCCAAGTGTGGGCGTGCAGAACAGGTAAGGAACGTCACTTCTCATCTTCCAAGGTGTTAGAGGAATCACCTGCCAGCAAACCTTCTCGGGATCCACAGTCATCCTCTGCAACAAAGCAGTGACACATCAGGCCGTGGAGAAATAACAGCACTCATCCTAATTAAGAGCAGTGCTCAGGCAGTATTGAAGCATTTGCAAACCCCGTATTGATGTTAAGAAAATGACTTGTTTTCCAAATATAAATGTAATATTGTTTTAGATGGTAATGGCCCTTTGCTTGAGAAATATACTCAAGAGTAGCTGAAGGATATGGAAGAGGATACAGATAAGGGAACAGCTTTTCAATATAGTGACATTGGCTAATTCTGCCTATGATACCATACCTAATTTGCCACAGCACAGCAAGTATTTATGTGTGTGTGAAAGTACATAGTGGCCTAATGACTCCTTAAAACTTCTTAATGGAAAAATCTTCAGCTACCTCATTTTAACTAAATCCCAGGCCTTTCAGAAAAAAAAAAAAATTGAACTGCATATGCATCACCTGCAAATATTACTTCCATTACAGTACTGCATAGCCTTTTGGAAGAGCAGAAATTCCCCTCTTGAGTCAGGAATCACATCAGGGTAGCATTAAGCATGATCTTGGTTTTGTATTTATATCAATGGATGTTTTCATCTGGTTTCACTGAAAGCATTGCCTAAGAACAAAATTATCTTCGCTTCATTCCACTAAAATCAATGGATAAATCCACCTGCAATGTTTTGGCACCCCCCAAAGGTACCTGGCTGAATCCTTGACCTGTGAAAGACAGTGCATTAAAATACCAAACTAATGAAAAGCTAGGTCCTCCAGCTATTTGTTCATACTCTGTTAGCAAGGTCATCCTCTCCTTCCTAGTCTCACTTTATTAAAAACAAGTCCAACTCTAACTTGGTCATTAATTATGAAATAAAATGCCTGTCTCCTATCTGATATTTAAAAGCCTTTGAAAATCCACAAGATTTAAGGCAAAAAAGCCAGCATTTTCCTAAAACCAAGCAGTCTTTATGAGATTTAAAACCTAAATAAAGATGAACATGCTAGTTTTATAAAATGGCCCTACCTTGCAGTGAAGTATTATAAATGTAGTTCCTGGCTCCTAAATTTTCCTCAAGTGGCAGAGAATATGCAGTACTGATCGTCTCTGACCTCTCTCTTTGGTTAAGAGAAACTTTAATAGCTTGTTCTAAAGACAGACAGAAGTGGACTTTTTTCAACCCTGACAACACAAGAAACATTCCCAGGCTTTTTGAGAATTCCCTAGGTATCTTTGAGTATGCATACAGTAAATTCTTACAGCTTTCACTAAAGAGGGAAGATATGGATTTGTAACAGTATTGGGGGTTTGGGTTTTTTGGTTTTTTTTTTTTTCCCCTAAAGTTATTGCTATCACAAATCCTACAGTTTGGAATAGCCAGGCTAAAAATCCTATTCTCAATTACACCATTTCTATGTGCTTCTCACATCACAGTTTCATAAGCTTTGCAGCCACCACACAGTTTTCTAAGGAAAAGAACAGATAGCCTGACAGCTGTAGAGGGCTTACACTGAAAGCATTTGAAGAATCCTTCTTTAATCTGATTTTAGTGGAAATTAAGCTTTACTCATTTTCTATTTGCACCAAAACTAGCTGGGTTGATCTCGCAGATAACTAAAACATTCCCCAGAAGTTTAGAATTGGTTATGTACAGTCTCAAAAACTATTATTATGGTGCATTCAGACAAATAAAGAAAGAACGAAGGAACCAGAGCAAAAAGCTGAAACTACCCGTTTCCATGACAGTTGTGTATCATTATGTAATTTGTTAAGATTCCATCTGACCTCTCAATAAAGGGGATTTGCAACAAACCCTGGAGTATATTCAGTTTCTGAAAACCAGGCCACATGGTGGTATGTGGTTCAGAGCAGATCTCAGGTATCCAGCTTCCCACAGGCTCTTCCATAATTATTAGATTGTTTCCAGAAAGTCCCATTTAACCCTAAGTTACTTTAGAAATACTCAATTTTAAAATCTCTTTTCAGGTATCACACTTCTGAGAATTCACTAACCTATTGGAGTATAAACACCAATAACAATTTCCCGCTGCTGTATTTTTTCCTTTTTTCCCCTCTCAAATAAGCATACAGGTTAAGCAAGCTCAAATAAGTATGCTAGGTTATTTCACCACCTAGCATTTTAGTGACCTAGCCCAAATCATTTGGGGTCAAAACAGGCTTTTACAACAGTGAAGACCCTGCAACTCATTAGAAACCATTAGTTCATCAGTAAAGAACAAATGTACTATGCTCTCAACTAAGTGCACACATGGAGAGTAATAATACAGCACGACTAGCACCTTTGCAAATAAAGGACTGAAAAAATAAATACACTGCTCGCCTAATGGCAAAAGGCAGACAGATGTGATGACAGAGGCAAAGCTTCTATCGAAAGCTTTTTTTTTTTTTTTTTTTTTTTAAAACCATGCTTAAACTGTATGTCCCTCTGTGATCATTAAGCATGGGGAGCAAATGTTTTGGGCTGTTGTAAATGAGGATTTAAAAAAAATCTGATGCTCATATTTTTACTGGCTTTGAAAAGCCTTACATGATCAAACAACTCTATTGCAGTCTACTACTAACCCTTAGCGGTACAAAAGTCAGATTACTTTGACGCAAGGCATCAATTCTTGCCCAAAATTTGAGTTCTATGAAGGACCCTATGTCTGCAGTCATTAACGTGAACAGAGTTTTGCCTTATGACCAGATGATAAAGCCTGAAGGCTGCGTTTGAGTATCTAAAAAAAGTTTTGTGCAGTCACTTCAGTTGGTAAAGTTCCTTGAAACCTCAGATAATAGTATTAATTTAAAAATAACACAGGAAGCAATATTTGTTTCCACCTCTGCAGGTACAACATTTCTACTCAACACGGAGACCGTGTGATTTGCTGGGTAGGTTGGGGAAGGATGACTTTTCAGGAGGATCTGTAGGGGCTCCACATGTCCCTTTGTACAACAAGTTTCACAGAGAGGCTCAGACATGCCAGAGAAGGACGGATGAAAAAGATTTGTTGCGAGACAGGCCTTCCAGTCCTCTGGTAATGAGCAACTGAACCTGCACCGTTTCTTAGATGAAATTATACATCTGCAGCCTGAGGCTCACAGAAAGAGTTTGACAAGGCTTTTACAACAGATACAGTTTGTTTAGGCAAACGAGTTTGTCTTGGCTTCAGTTCACCAGCCTGCAAAACAGACGTTATCTAACCATGGTTTTGTGAAACAAGGAACAATTGCAGAGTGTTTTCAGATATGCTGATGAAAGCTTTTACTTTGTACGTTACATTTTTATTGGTGGAGGATACAGAACATGGAAGGATGTGGGAGTAAGGCCAGAAGTGACAACATATACAAAGAAAATAAGGTCCAGAAGAAGAATTGTTGTTGTCCTGATCTATTTTATATAGGTCAGTCTGTCTCTCAGACATTTCCATCTCCACTGCCTTTCATAACTGTAAACACTTGGAGCAATTGCAGCAAGTACCATAAAGAACAGCAGCAGCAGAAAAGCAGGTAGCATATGTCTAACCAATTCTAGGAGCTCTTAGGTGCTGGTTCACAGGCAGTTTTTCCCTGTCTAAGTTGTATCAACAGATTTGGAATCAAAGCTTCTCGTTTTTATTTCCAGTGTGGTAGTTGCTCCGCAACATGGAATAACTTCTTTGCTTCACAACCTATGAAACTCTTGGCTTAATATCTACCTATCTCACAGAACAAGTATGAACACCAACTACTGTAAAATATTTCATATTAAAACTGCCTGTAAGAAGAAACAGTATAGTAATTATATTGTGATGGCCATTTCATTGCGCAATTGATTTGACGTTGGCCTTCCAAAATTATTTTAAAGGTATTGCTTTTATATTCATATCACTATTTAATTCCCGCTTCTGCAAGAACCTATTCGTAAGAGTGAGTGCTAGTTTCAGGGGTATGCAGCAATCTTGATTTTCTTTCTACACAAGGTTTTCTGTTTCCTTTGCTTCAAACTGTCCTTCCCCTGCTTCTCCCCACTCCGCCACGACATGAGTCATTCAGGTCAACCACATAGCTTTTCATCCAAATTAGATATGTTCAGTAAAATTACCAGTTAGATACCAAAGCAAGGTCTACAGAGAGCCCATCTTTTGAAAGCTCAAGCTATGCAACAAAGTATTACACTGATCTGTGAGTTCTCCTACTCTGGGATATGTAATTTCTTTTGAAAGAGCTTACACTATGATTTATTTCCATTCCTCTGCAGAAGGTAGAAGCCTGTATTTCCATTTTCTAGACACACAGCACAGCAGAGGCAAACAAATAACAAGCAGTGCTCTTTCAAATATTCTCACCCAGCCTTATTTTTATGAATACTTCTAGAGGTGAGGAAAAATATTTACAATGCAGTATTAAACATGTATGAATTGACAGAGAATAAAGATCAGTGGTTGACAAAAGTACAAAGGGTGACAGAAGCAGAGTGAAACAACTTCTAAGTTACTTCTAGGTTTAACTAGGGTTTATGTAGGTCAACACAAAACATGCAAATTCCCTCCAGCACATCTTTTGTCGAAATCTCTTTTTAAAATTTCATGAAAGAAAGGAAAAGTTGGGATGATTTCCCTTTCTGTAATAAAGTTGCCCCTTGCCACAGATTATTTACACATCTTGCTCATGATACTACTGTTGAAGAGAAAGTGTTTCATCTCTGAAGTAGACAAAATGTTTCCTGATGGCCAGGGTCCAAAACAACGCAGGATGGAACAGAACTTGCAACCATATCCTCCCATTCTTGTAACATTCAAATTTCCTCAGCAAGTTTTTCAGGAACAAGATAATGGTGTCCTTGTTGGACCCCAATAATACTTTTTGCTAAATACTAAATTCTCAGTGTGAGGAAACAAATACACATCCAGTCTATAACTCACTGTTCCAGTGAGCATACACATACATTTTTTGTGTTTTATTTTTAACTTCCAAAACTGTAAATATTGTCAGCAATATTCTACAGATGTCCACAAAGATGCATGTTTCATTTCAGCATAACCAGATGAAAGTGGACAAAAGCGTGCTTCATGCTGTGGAGAACCTAGAAAGGTTAGGGAAATGGCTTCCTGACCAGAAATGCTCTTGCTGCCCTTTCACTGGAAGATTCGCTCTTCAGCACATTCCCCATGGAAGAGCAGCAGGGAAAATTGAATAGACTCCAGACAGGCAGGGGACTGGGGTGTGAGAGCCACCTCAACATCTCTGTGGAGCACAAAAATGAAAGGCCGTAAACTCTGGTTTAAATCCTCCACTTTCGTATTTCCCAAAAACCACTCAATACACACATTCACCTGCATGCTTGCTCACACTCACTTGCATGCTCACCAGTATGTACGCACACTGATCACAGAATCACAGAATGGCAGGGGTTGGAAGGGACCTCCGGAGATCATCTAGTCCAACCCTCCTGCTAAAGCAGGTTCACCTAGAGCAGGTCACACAGGACATCGTCCAGGCAGGTTTTTACTATCTCCAAAGAGACGACTCCACAACCCTCCCTGGACAGCCTGTTCCAGTACTCTGTCACCATCAAAGTAAAAAAGTTCTTTCTCATACTCAATTGAAACCTCTTATGCTTCAGTTTGTGCCCATTGCCCCTTGTCCTGTTGCTGGGCACCACCGAGAAGAGTCTGGTTCCATCCTCATAACATCCACTCTTAAGATATTTGTAAGCATTTGTAAGATCCCCTCTCAGTCTTCTCTTCTTCAGGCTAAACAAGCCCAGCTCCTTCAGCCTTTCCTCATAGGAGAGACGCTCCAGTCCCCTCATCATCTTTGTAGCCCTCCTCTGGACTCTCTCTAGGAGTTCCTCATCCTTCTTGAACTGGGGAGCCCAGAACTGGACACAGTACTACAGGTATGGTCTCACTCCAGGGCAGAGTAGAGGGGGAGGATAACCTCCCTTGACCTGCTGGCCACTCTCCTCTTAACGGACCCCAGGATGCCATTGGCCTTCTTGGCAACAAGGGCACACTGATGCATCTTTACATTCCCTCACATGCCTCCCATGTGCCCATTTGCTCATACGCACTGACTCCTGCTCTGTCTCACCCCCATGCTCATGCCTACACACTCACACTCACGTGGTCACACAGCTGCACCCCCTTGCACTCACATGCACTTCCTCCCCATCCTTTGAGGTTTTTCTTGCTAGAACTGATCATTCATTCTTCGGCTATGCATTTTGTATTTTCAACACCAAGTTCTGCTAATGGCACTGATTATTTTTTTGCCTGCAAGTAAAGGTAACTTCTCAACAGGAACCAAGTACCATAATTTAAAAACCTAAAGGAAAAGGAAGACCTTTGATTCATACAATTCACGACAACACAAGGTAATAGCACTTTTCATCCACAGTGCCCAAAGAGTGGAACTGTACTTCTCACAACATGCATAGGAAAGTGAAAAGTGTGCTCTGAATTTAACCTCTGCAAATACGTCAGATCCTACCACATCTTTCTCCACAAAGCAGTTAAAGGCTTATAATTCAACTCCAATTTGCAATCCAGCCCAAAAGGTAGGATGTCTTCACAGAGCAGAAGAGAGCTGAGAACTTGCAACATGCAATAACAGCAAAAGACCGGTAGCAATGTTCAGCACGTACCTTTGAATCTGCCACGTGATTTGATTGCTTTTTTCTTGTGTTATGAGAAATAGCAACCATTTTTATTTACCTCCAGCATGGCACTCATTACATTACAGGAGTGGACCTGCATGTCATATTTACAATACAGGTGTCCAATGGATTTATGTGGTAATATAACAATCCTTTGCGTTTTATGCTGTCATTTCCATAGCAATTCCATTATTCCTAATACTTGCTATTTTAACCACCACTGAGCATTGCACTGCTGTTTTCACAGAATTTTCTTATTACACATCCACGATCTGAGTAATAAGACAGCTAGTCCAGAGCTTGCCATTTTGGATGAAGAAAACCCCAAGACCACTTTTCCTCAAGGCAAATCAGTTTACATCACTAACATATCATTTGCTGCTTTATCACCCAGCTACAGAGTATCATGAGATGCTCTGCAGATCTAAAGTAAAAGGTCAGCTTTCAATTTCATTATGCTAAGTAATTCCCTGCCATCAGCAAACTTTCTCACATCATTTTGTACCCCCTTTGGGATCATTTATGGTAACACTGCACAGAGGCCTGGTACAAATTCCTGGGAAACATCACTGCTGACTTCCCCCCACTAGTCCAATGTTTATAAAAAAATAATAACAGGTAATCCAAGAAACCTAAACACCACAAGAATAAAATCCTCATGTTGACTCCCCCTTTTTTCCCTGCAACAACTGAGTGATAACCACATATATAATTATGACAGGACAGAAGTAGATACAATTTTAAAAGATAGGCATTTTTTAAAATTA